TTTACATACCCTAGAGACCCACCAAGAAAAATCTAGAACTGATAAATACCTTAGAAAGGTGGCAGTGCCCATCTAATTGTAACCCCTCTGTACAATATTTTCACAATAAAAAAAAAGTTAAAGGAGAAAGGTGGCAGGATGCAAAAATCAATACCCCCAGATCAGTAGCTTTCCTATGTACCAACAATGAACAGGCTGAGAAAGAAATCAGGAAAACAATTCAATTTGTAATAGCCCCAAACAATAATGTACTTAGGTATTAACGTAACCAAGGAGTGAAAGACCTCTACAATGAAACTGTATAATACCTTGAGAAAAAAAATTGAAGAAAACATCAGAGGATGGAAAGACCTCATGTGATCATGGACTGGACAAATTAGTATCATGAAAATGGCCATACTGCCAAAGAAATCTACAACTTCAATGTAATACCCATCAAAATCCCAATGTCATTCCTCACAGAATTAGAGAAATCAATATGGAGGCATAAAGGACCCTAAATAGCATAAGTAATTCTAATTGAAAACAAAAACAAAACAAAATACTGCTGGAGTTATCACAATACCAGACTTCAAATTATATTACAGAGCCATAGTAGCAAAAACATAGTAGCTTGGTACTGGAACAACAACAGATCTGAAGATCAATAGAGCAATGAAAAAGACCTAGAAATAATTTTTGACAACGGAGCTGAAAGCATACAAGGGAGAAAATACAGCCTCTTGAGCAAATGGTTCTGGGGAAATTGGGTCTCTGCAGGAAACTGGACCTCAATTTCTCACACTGTACACAAATCAACTCCAGTTGGATCAAAGAGCTCAAAGCAGGATCACAAATTTTAAGTCTATGACAGGAAAACGTAGGAAAAACTCTGGTAGCATAGATAAATATCTTCTGTATATCTGTTTCTAGCTCCAGAAACCCAGAGGATGGGAGCATGAATCAACAAATAGGACTACATCAAATTAAAGACTTTACACCACAAAAGAAATAGTCACCAGGACCAAGGGACAATCCACAGAATGGAGAAAGTCTTCTCTACTATCCCACAGATAAAGGATTGATATCCAAAATACACTGAAAAAAAATTTTTAAATGACATAAGAAAACAAATAATCCAACTAATAAATTAGGCAGGTGAACTGAGTAGATATTCTCACAAGAAGAGATACAAATAGCTAATAGATACAGGAAAAAATGTTCAACATCCTTAGCCATAAGGAAATATAAATCAAAATCACATTAAGATTCTATGTTACCCCAGTCAGTATGGCAGCCATCAAGGAAACAAGCAACAATAAATGTTGGTAAGAACATACATACACTGTTGGTGGGAATGTAAACTAGTAAAACCACTATGAAAATCAGTATGAAGCTTCCTCAAAAAACTAAAAATAGACCCTCCCTATAGCTCTACTACAATTGGACCATATATCCACAGGAGAGTATTATACCAGAAAGACATCTACATAACTATGTTTACTGTAGCACTATTCACAGTAGCCAAATGATGCAATCAGCCAAAGTACCTATAAAGAAGATAGTTATATATGTGTATGTGTGTGTGTGTGTGCGTGTGTATGAATATTACATGGCCATAAAGAAAATTTAAATGTCATTTGCAGAAAATGGGTGCAGTTGGAAGACATCATATTGAAACAAGTCAAGCTCAAAAAGCAAAATATTTTGTTGGACTGTGAGCCCCTGTAAGGCTAATTCCCCCTAATTCTCTCATAATTCTCAGTTAATACATTTGTATACACTACATACAACCCTGAAGTGTTTACTTATGCACTGTAAAATAATTTTAGTTTCTACATATGAGAGAAAACATGTATCCTTTGTCTTTCTTGGTGTGACTTACTCCACTTAACATATTTTTTTTCTAGGTCCTTCCATTTATTTGCAAATGATGTAACATCCTTCTTTCTAATGGATGAGTAAAATTCCATTGTGTATATATACCACAATTTCTTGATCCATTTGTCCACTGAAAGGCATCTGGGCTGATTCCATACCCACATCCCAGCACCCAGTAGTATGGAGCAGAGCTTTGGGTATTCCAACTTTCCATAACTCTCTGGGTATTGTTCCTGAAACCTGGCTTCACTGTTTACAGTATTCACCTCTGCTGTAGAAGGCACAAATAGAAGAGCACAGGATAAAGACCTAGAATAGCCAAAACAATTCTAGGGAATAAAGACAACATGGGAGGAATATCCATGCTGAACTTCAAACTCTACTACGGAGCTATAATAACAAAGACAGCATGGTACTGGCACAAAAACAGACCCGAAGACCAATGGAACAGAATAGAAGATCCAGAAATAAATCCACAGGCCTACAACCAGCTGATATTCGACAAAGGAGCCAAAGACATACAA